ATATTAAATAGTGTTCGGAGAGTTTTGGCCACAATTTCATGCAATTATTTGTATGGGAAGTACAGAAAACACAAAAACAATCAAATTGTTGCAAATGTTCAACAAATTAGACCAAAGTTTACTATCAGATCCGTTCACATGAGTGATGGCAAAGACCTGACCATCGATGAGATCTATAGAAAATACATCAATTATTTTGTTAAAATAATGCATGTTACGAGTAAATATCCAAACGGCAAGTATATGGTTTCGTGGGGTTCGGGTGTGTGTCTCGGCGGCACCGGTTATATAGTGACCAATTGTCACGTGGTTGGAGAGGCAGGGCATTGGTTCGTCAACCGATTCAAAGTGGACAACAACGGCGACGTCTGCGGCCTCGGCGTGAAAGACCCCATAACTGGCGCTCAAGTTATGTATTGCAGTCCGCAGTTAGATATAGCGGTCATCCATTCCAAGTGTACCGTAACGGCCGATACTGAGGTCCAAGACGTTGGGTTTAGTATTAGCGATGGCCAACACGTGGTGTCCATTGGGAATCCTACGCTCCCATTTTGTCTATCCGATGGTGTAGTCAGTTGTACGGGTCGTGAGGGCCGTACTCTTTGTGTGGATAATTACGAGTATCATATGGTTTACACCGACCCGACAGGTCTTCATATAACCCACACGTGTTCCACATATAATGGTTTCTCTGGCGGTCCGTTGATTAACATGAGTGGACAGTTGGTTGGCATACATTACGGGTCAATCGGACGTGGCACATTTCGGGAGGCATTTAGCATCAATACCGCAAGTGTCTGGGGTTAGACATCACCTAATATTAAGCTCATTATTGGCTTTGATTATTAAATTAATTTTTTGATTTTACAGGTGTTTTAAACGATATGAAACTGTTTTCCGAGAAGAGACACACATATAGTGCGGAGAAATCATTGGGATTAGCGCTCAGACCTATGACCAGAGAGTTGTGGGCAACGCTTTTCGGAGCAGATACTGAATGCACTATAAATGAAGGGCTTTTAGTTTTAAGAAAATTAACCACAAATTCAGTGTCTATTCCGTAATACTATTTAATTGTTCATTTAATTTAACAATAATTTATAATATATTCATTTTAATATAATCGGTTTATTAATAGCACTGATATCAGAACTGGTGATACTATCGTTAGAGTGAACGACAATCCGATTAATTCTGTGAAAGAATTGAGAGATTATTGCAATAATTGTAATCCCAATGAAGTCCTCGATATAAGTGTTATCCGAAGATTTGATATACAAAACAAATTGCAATTTCAAGTCAAACCCCAATCCATTGTCTCTCCACTTATTTAATGGCTTTTATAATTATTGCAAACATTTATTTATTGTCTCGTACTATTATTTTCACTCATGTTTTTTAATAAATTCAATTTTAATAAAAGTAAACTTCTCGCGAAAGATATAAACATTTACATGAATTATAATTTTTGAATTTTGTTACATTTTTAATTTATCTTTTCTGTTAACATTCAAGTATTTGAAATGTTAATTAATTGAACCAATTATTTGTAACGCAAACATAATTAAAGGCAATGCTACCACTTATAAGATATAATACGAGGTACTAGGAAATCAATTTATCTTAAACTTTATTACAAATAAAGTATAATTTATGCTTTCATTTACCAAATAGTCTTCGGATAATTTTGGCCACAATTTCATACAATTATTTGTATGGAAAGTATAGAAAACATTGGAACAAACAAATTGTGGCAAATGTTCAACAAATAAGACTAAAGTTTTTCATCAGATCCGCTCTCATGAGTCAAAACAAAGAACTAACTTTCGATGATATCTATGAAAAATACGTGAATTATTTTGTTAAAATACATAACACAACGGGTAAGCGACCAAATGGTCAATTTGCTTGGGGGTGGGGTTCGGGTGTGTGTCTCGGCGGCAGCGGTTATATACTGACCAATTGTCACGTGGTTGGAGACTGGGGTCTGTGGTTCACCGAACGCTTCCAAGTGGACAATGAGGGCGACGTTCGAGGCCTCGGAATAAACGATGGCATAACGTATTCGCGTGTCATGTATTGCAGTCCGCGGTTGGATATCGCGATCGTTTACTCCAAGTGTACCGAAGCGGATGACATAGGACTCCAAGAGCTTGGGTTTAGTACACACGTTGGCCAACACGTGGTGTCCATTGGGAATCCTATGCTAGAGTTTTGCCTAATCGATGGTGTCGTCAATTGTGTGGGTCGTGAGGGCCGAACCCTTTGTGTGGACACTCACGAGTACTTTATGGTGTTTACCGACCCGACGGGTCTTCATCTGAACCACTCGTGTCCCATAGTTCAGGGGTTCTCTGGCGGTCCGGTGCTTAACATGAGTGGGCAGTTGGTTGGCATCAATTACGGTTCAATTGGTCATGGCACTTTTCGAGACACTTTTGGCATCAATACCGCAGATATCACGGGTTAAACATCACTAAATATTGTTGATTCAGATTTAGTAAATTAATTTAGTTTTGATATTACAGGCGTTTTAAACGATATGAAACTGTTTTCGG